ATTCTGCATTGTTATTCTGCATTCTGTTATTTTGAATTCTGTTATTCTGCCATTCTGCCATTCTGTTATTCTGTTATTCTGCAGTCTGTTATTCCACAGTTTGCATTCTGCAGGCTGTTATTCTACACTCTGTTATTCAGAATTCTCTGTTCTCCATCCTGTTACTCTTTATTCTGCCATTCTGCTAGTCTGTTATTCCGTTATTCTGTATGATTGTGCTCCACCAGTCGAGGAGGTAGAGAGGGGCTCCTCCACGGCTCCCCGGGGCAGCGAAATAGAGCCCGGGGCTAAGGAAGAGGCCTTTTCTGCCTGTCCCAGCTGTTCCTTTGCCAGCAATCCAGCCATCAGCCCAACAGGTGCCGGAGGGCTGCCAAGAGGCGGCCTGGGAGAAATGAATAGGAGCTATGAATAGAGCCGGGCCAGGGAGGGGGTGGATCAGCCCCTAAGAAAGAGTATACTGGAAATCCCCTTTTCCCCTGGGTCTAAACTCAGCGATGTCACAATAGTAATAATAATAATAATAGACGAGAAAGAACTGGAGAAGATAACAAAATACAGAGACCTACAAATAGAAATAGAAAGACTGTGGCAAAAGCAAGCAAAGGTAGTACCAATAGTAATAGGCGCCTTGGGTGCAATCCCAAAACAACTGGAGCACCACTTGAACACCATTGACATTGACAAATTCGCCATTAGTCAATTGCAAAAGGCGGCCTTACTGGGAACTGCTTCCATCCTGCGACGATATCTGTAATACCATCAAACATCCACATCTGCCTATCTCAGGTCCTGGGTAAGGACTCGATAGGTAGAGAAAAATGCCAAATCCAGTCTGAACAGCTGGCTGACTGTGCGATGATCCATAATAATAATAATAATTTTATATTATTATTAATTATTATTATTATGTAGACATGAACTTCAGTCAATTGAACATTCAAATTGACTGGCACTGATGGTTGGATGCTGGTAGCAACCCGTGTCAACCATATAATAGAGCTGGAAGGGACCTTGGAGGTCTTCTACTCCATCCCCCTGCTCAGGCAGCAGACCCTAGTCCATTCCAGACAGGTGGCTGTCCAGTCTTTTCTTAAAAACCTCCAGTGATGGAGCAACTCACAACTTCTAAAGGCAACTTCTGTTCCACTGGTTCATTGTTCTCACTTGTCAGGAAATTCCTCCTTAGTTTCAGGTTGTATCGTGGGCCCCATTCAAGCTGCCCTTGGTTCTTCTCTAGAAATGCACCATGCCTGCTTTAATCCTTAAAGAGAGCAACAAAAGTTGTGCCTTCTGCAGAAAGTGTCCAGCCTGCCCAGTGAGCTCTCTGGACATTTGGGCTTAACACCCTGGGGATTTTCCACAGGCGCTGCTGACTCTGATTCATCATGCAGCCTCAGCCCAAAAGGTCTTTATCGCCCACCGTGAC